TATACGGTGAGAGGATCGGTATCTTACCGTCCATTGGCCGTTTACAGGGTCGTAATTCTGTAGTGTTGGTGCGTAGGCAGCTAGTTTGATCACATCCGCGTTACGCTCCCAACCCATCATATAGACTGCCTCGGAGCAGGCACCTCGCATGTCGGACCATTTGACGCCCCACCTGGCATATTCACCGATAAACACGGGATGAGCGCGATCCCAGTCGTCATAAAATTCATATGCATTGATGTAATTCTCCGGCACATTGTAGTCGTGGAAGTCAAGCCATGCGCCTTCGGGAATTGGGTTCGGCAGACAGGCTCGGTCAGACGTGGAGGTAAGGACAGTTATTTGCGGATATGCTTCTTTGATAGCATCGAAAAATTGCACAAAGCGCTGCTTGTAAGACTCACAGCCGCCGGCGAGGTTATCTTCGTTCCCAACCTCGACGAAGTTGAGCTGGTACGGCTCTGGGTGTCCGAGAGACGCGCGAAGTGCCCCGCCGGACGTGTTGATGTCACCAATGACGAACTAAGACGTTGTTCAGCACGACTACCTGATGCGTAGTAACGTAGGTAGACAAAATACCTCAATCTCACGGATTGCGTCCTCAACATACGGCTCAAGCTCGTCTCCTACTAATGGTGGGAGTCCCGCAAGTCCGAGACCGGCCCATACGTCCAGGATAGGCTCCAAGGACATATCCTCACACCACTGGAAGTATTCCATGAGGCCAAGGCCGTCAGTGTTGACATATCCCCAAGTCCCTATATAAGTATCAAGAACATCAGTCGGTTGCCTCACATCGCAGTAACATCAAGGTGCAACGAGGCCCTACCCCAACGTCCTGGTCGAGATTCAAGAGAACCTATTGTTTCATTCCATTTCCAGCGGTCATGCGGGCCGCCTCCCTCACTGCATAATGAGTAGTCAGTGATTGGATCTTGGACTTGTATTTGATAAGGATACCAAGGCAACTCACAGGTTGTTGCCCCCAGGGAATCTCAGAAACTGGGGTTTGAGATTTACGAGGGCTTCGGATAGATCGACTGTCAAGCCGTTTTCTCTACCTTTGAAAGTAGGAGGAAACAAGGTCGGGTAACCAAGATTGATACTTCCGCTAGTCAGAGTCTCGGCCAAGATCTCGAAAACCCAGAGGTTGTTCCCATCGGCGGCGGCTGTCGTCCAGAATCCGGCTTCATATCGTGTCCATAAATCGGCCTTGGAGTCGACGGGAATGATAGCCCAGCCATGTTCGACATCAGTCTCATTGCTTAGGAGGCGGATCTTGACATCGCCCTGAAAATCACCACGAAGCCAGAAAGTGGTATTGTAGTATCCGCCGTTCACGATGATGCCTCTGTAGCCAGGGTTCGCAACGCCAGTAAATCCACCCGCGCCGGTGGGGATTGTAATTTTGAGGGATGAAGTGATGGCGTCGGTCAGTGGTGTTTGGGCATCATGAGAAATTTCCGCCGCGCCATAATGAACTGTCCAGGGGTCGAGGGTAGTCACACCGCCTTGAAATGCGTTATTTCTTAGTTGCTGTGAATAGAGACCTATCACCGTATTTCATGTTTTAGCCAATTGTTATGTTTGATGGGCCAGGGGTCAACTGTACCTCCGTCGCCGCTGTTGCTGATGTCCTCAAACATAAGACCGTGGAGCAAAGGGCTTAACTCATGGCCAGGACTTCCGGTATCAACCTGAAGCAGGAGTGCCCCTGCCACAGTAGTCGTAGCTACGAGGCTGAAGAATTGAGAACAGTGCATGGCTTGGCTTGAAGTCAAAGTCTTGAGAGATGAAGGTTGTTACCGGGGTTAACTCAGTCACAAAGCAGCTAGCATTTTTATTATATATCACCGATCAATATTGCCAACCATGGCTCGAAGTACTTTCATGCATTGGATACGCTCCAATGGCGCTTAGACGTCTGGTACATCATCTAGCAACCGACAACTTACGAGTTCCGATCACTAGGAAGAAGAAGGTAATAGGATTGAAAGAGGAACGAGAGGCATCATTGTTGCTCATCGCCATCGTGATTGGTGGTGAAAAAGAATAGTTCGGCTCGAGATCTTTCCGTAGATGAATCTATGTTCCTGGAAAAGTCGCGGAAGTCTAGATCCAAGACGAATTAGTGGGATTGCCAAGACCGAAGAGCTCGTTCAGGTGGAGGCACATATGACAAACGACTATCCAGGTGGCCATGATGCCAAGAAGGCATTGTGAGGACGTGTAAAGTTAGCGGAAAGTCGTGCTCGCTTTTAGCCGCAAGCGCTGATATACGCTCCTCTCCGAAGATTGCGGGTAGCTTTAACGGCAAATTGTGGAGCAACCACGAGCATCCCTTAATTGGTATGTGGAAATGTCCTTACTCTGGATGGGCGCATACAAGGTGTTCGGCGGCAAATATAGAGAAGTTATAACACAACCGAAAACAAAGGTTTACTTTTAACACTCACATATTTAGAATTAGTTTATGTAGAAGTATAGAATTCCTCACGATCTTCTTTTCACCGCGTCTTATTCCTTGGGCCCGCGTGTCTCCTGACTTGGCTGGGGGGCTAGTCCCATGGGAACTGACAGAGCCGCTCCAATTATGACCTTGCGGTTGACTTTCGCAATGTAAATACTCCCGGGTGAACAATAATCGTCAACTTTGTGCAGAGAAATCAGTCATCTATTTTCGGAGCTCTGAATTAGAACACGCAATCTCACATGAATGACTACTAAAGATGTGTCGATGTTGCTGAAAGCCATGCGGATCCTAGAAATTGCTCGTGTATTAGTGGCCCAGAGTAGTGGCAAAATCGAAGCCATTATTCTCAATAATTTCCGTCCTGGCCTATTCTAATTACGGCTTTATAAATATATCAAAGTATCCTCTTCGACATCAGCCTCCTTCAAAAGAGAACTCAAGATTTATGGCTAAGTAGGTATTAAGCGTTTGTGGTCTCCGAGGATGTTTCTTCGCGGTCGCAAAGGCATTGGTTGCGCGGACGTCCGAGCAATGCAGCTAATCGCTCGTTCAGAGAGGAGCCACTAGAACAAAAGGCCATGGGAATTACATGCTTAGACGTAAAGTTAGAGAGCCCAGCAAGTTTGTCAGAAGCAGAGAGTGTGCAGAGACCGAGTCACAGGTGGATGTTGTTGTTTACACTACCAGGAAGTAGCATTCCTCTAAAATAGAGTCTAGCCTCTCTCAGTAGATTAGCATGCTGATTAGATGCTAGAATTGACTTTCTTCCTGAATGATAGATGCTAAGTCTCCCCTTGCCGGTATCCTCTTTGTGTTTTTGACCGAGACTTACGTCCATATCTACTCAATCAGTAGCAACACCTGCCTTAATCCGCTCAAGTACGCTCTCACTCTCGATGGTAAGTCTGAGAGCGGCGCAGACCCGCTCGTCGTGCGCAATATTATACTAGTGAAAGGGCCTTGTGAACTGATCAGACTGTGATCGTAAAATCGGCCTAATTCAAATCAGTCACGTAGAAATCTAGCAAGTCCAGAGTCAATCGGCATAAACAACTGAAGGCACGGCTGAAAACGTCAGGTATCACCGTGACAACATTATAGACTTCTCAATTGATCAGAGCAGTAGCTTGTACCCCTGGCAATTTCATCTAGACGAGCTATAAGAAGAAGACCATGACAATTATCACGGATGGGTCCGCCTGAATTTGGAAAGCTAAGGTGGCTGACCATACTTTCAATCTTTTATTGCTTGATACTTATTCTCTGCTCTAGGCCGACAACACCTATATGTCGTGACCTAATTCTCCTCCTAAATTATTTTGATAGCTTATTCGTATAAGCTTAACCCAAAGCCCAATATCTTTCTTCCTATCTGCTGTAGATTTAATTGACAACTGCACGGGGTTAAGTCCTGATGGTCCGACACGCTGAAATTACATAGGTATCGCAGAGATGGCTAGAGGTACTCGTAAGGGCTTATTGGGATACATGTAGTAACTGTCCATCTGGAAGTGGTGATTTGTTTACACCTCCTTGTACGCTGGAACGCGAAATCGTCACACAATATGCTAATAATGGCCGAGTGATCAATTTTCCAGCCGCCATATTGAACGGGGAGAAGGAAAAGACTATGAGTACGTTGATGAAGGCAAACGGACTGGACGGGGCAAAGGGCCTCCAAGAGAGGTTAGATATCGTTGAGCAGCCTGGCATTGTCTTGAGAGACGTTACATGCACGGTACCCAGCTAGAAGATCGAGATCTTTACGGCTGCGGCCCAACTACTGATTCATCCTGTAAGGATCAATGCCGACTTTGTTGGTGAGATGACTCGAATCGATATAGGGTCGACATGGAATGAATGGGGCAACTTAGCAAGGCCAGTCGCTGATGTCTGAAAGCCAGTGGCCATCCGGGCTCTGTTTGCAGCGAGAGTAGGAGATCAGCTACGGCAGGATGGGTGAGTCCATATCGTCGTGACGAGTCTCGAGACTGGAGAGATGATAGCAAAGGCTGGGTACGAAAGCATGCCAGGGTTTGAACATCGTTTTGTATACTGATATCTAAGCATTAGCTACTTTTTACACAAGTACCTTAGAGATTATCTTGAGGTAGTATCATAAAGCCTGTCTGCCTATTCCTTTCTCAAGACCCAAAGGATCTACATGTTTCTTATTTCAGGCAGCCAAGTTAACAGTGGAAACGCATCCACTCACGTTTGGGTCTTTGGTAGACCGCGTCCACGGAATTGGACCTTTGGTTAAGGCTTAGGAATGCTGCGTCGTCATTCAGGGCATGTCGAGCTAAATCCGATAGAACCGCCCATTAAGGGGTGAGGTTCCCCTGCACCGCCAGCAGCAGCCTGTGAGTAAGACGGATCGGATCTTATCATAAGCTCCGTAAACCCTACCAAGGCCCACCCGAGACAGCAGAAGTGGCTGAGGCAGCGGCCGACCCTGGCCCATACGCCTGGAGATAATTAGCCGGACTTGATATTTTTGGGGACACTGTACCTGAGCACTACCTATGGTGGTAGGTATACCTGCAATGACTGGCGATGGCCGCGACGGCTTGGATCGAAACGAAGTGTATATATATGCAGTTAATATACCTCTCAACGATTTTGAACTTGGAACATTATCAATCCAGCATTTTTTACAAGATATCTACTTTGTACACTACAACTTAAGCACCATACCCTATCGAAGCTTGGTACCTCAATCTTGATCATCGTCAACATGAGCTCCACTACAGCCACCAAGACCATTGTCGGAAAGTCCATTGGGCCAACCGGCTACGGACTGATGGGTGAGTTCGTTAAACTTAAAAACAGTCATCACAAGACTGTATTCTTTTGCTGACAATGATGCACAGGATTGACCCGTCCTTGGGACCAGATTGACTTCTCTGTTTCAACCAAACTGATGAAGACTGCGCTCGAACAGGGTGCCAACGTTTGGAACGGGGTATGGTCACCATCAACAAAAGCCATCTTTTGTATGTGATGTACTTACACAGAAGCAGGGAATCCACTACGGAACTCCTGACAGAAATTCCTTGCACCTACTTAAACACTACTTCGAGCAAAACCCGCAGGATGCCGACAAGGTCGTCCTGAGCATCAAGGGCGCCTACGACGGCAAGACCCACATCCCGGACTGCAGCCCGGAGGGCATCCGGGCCTCCGTCGAAGAGGCCGTACGAGTCCTTGGTGGCTGCAAAAAGATTGATGTCTTCGAGTGCGCTCGAGTCGACCCCCATGTCCCCATCGAAACCTCCGTCCAGGCCCTCGCGGAACTCATCAAGGAAGGTAAGATCGGCGGCATCGGCCTTAGCGAGGTCAGCGCCACGACCATCCGCCGCGCGCACGCCGTGCACCCCATCGCGGCAGTCGAGATCGAGCTCAGTATCTTCACGCCCGATGCCGTAACCAACGGTGTCGCCGAGGCATGTCACGAGCGTAAGTCTTTTGCCATCCCGGGCCGCATTCTCGCAATATAGCAATGATTAACTCGAACAAATACTATAGTCGGCATCGCTCTCGTCGCCTACAGCCCCGTTAGCCGCGGCCTCCTCACCGGTGAGTTCCGCAGGCCTGAAGATCTCCCCGCCAACGACATGCGCCGCATGTTGCCGCGCTTCAAATCGGATGCTTTCGTCCAGAACTTCAAACTTGTCGAGGCGGTGGAGAAGATTGCCGAGCGCAAGGGTGCGACGGTCGCGCAGGTGGCCATCACTTGGGTGCGGCGGCAGGGAGCCATCCCGATTCCCGGGTCGACAAAAGCGGTGCGAGTGGTGCAGAACTGCGTAGACGTGGAGCTAAGCGACGACGATTTGAAAGAGATTTGGGCGCTGATTGAGAGCTTGCCTATCGCGGGACAGCGCTATGGCGGCAAGTTTGAGCAGTATCTCAACCAGTGAGGGTTGGCCGTTTTCCCATGCTTTCTGCTTGATTTGCAATATACCTCGAAGTCTCTAGAGTAGCGGAAATGCTACTATAATATACCAATGTTGCCTTAGACGATGGTATTCGCTTGCTGTATTACATACTTAAGCAAACGCCTGGAGTAACTACTTCTCACACGTTGATTTAGCGTCCACGACAGTGTCAAAGCGCTGGTGGTATACCAGCAGGGCTGTCCTTTGGCCAGTCGCCGAGACGGCGACGTTGGTGTTGGGAGAAATGTGCAAGGGCCAAGTGTCTATCTGTTAGGCACGTTCATCCATTGCCTACCTTATTGTGTTCTGACGCAGAGATATCGCGGCGCATGTTGCCTGCGGTCTATCCTCGACTTTGATTCCTCTCAGCAGATTGAAACAATGTGCAAGATCTGATGTGATGCTCTCCACGCCCGACAGGATCAGGGATATTAGATATGCTGGATTACCTACCTTATGTAACGCCCCCACTGGTCATGGCCACGTGACTGCTCCTCAACCGGCCCTACTCTCGCGCTGGCAGGTGGTGAAAGCTTCAATGCCAATCCATCCACGAGCCTCCGAACTTCGGAAGATTCAGTCCGTCTTACCACTAATCGATTACATGCTTTTGCCAAGTATTCGAGTTGATCATCGTGGATTCACTCTGATATTCTCTCTCTCTCTACCCCTGCTCCAAAATTGCGGTACTACTCTGATACCCCTCTCAGTGTCTTTCGCTCATCTGCATCGGCATATAACCACCATCATGCTTTCTTCAGGCTTACTTTCAACCCATAGTCAATACCAGCGCGACACTGATGCCGTTGCCTCGTGGCTGGCTGCCACAGCGATAAGCTCCGGCTACTCCAAGCCCCTGAGTGAGCCACCCGCCAAGGCTACGTCTTCAGTGCCCACGTCTGAGAGGTTGAAGGGCAAGGCGCGGAAGGATGCTAAGAAACAGGCTATCATCAACTCATTACAGACACCTGAGGGGAAAGCGCCTGAGGACACGACGCCGAAACACATCATCGCTATCAAGGACTTCCTGCCACTGGCCCAATTCGTCGCGGGAAAGTTGTCTGACTCCCTCAAGGTCCCAGAATCGTTCATGTCATCCCTCAACCGTGTCATTGAAACTCGCAAGCGGTTTTCTTCCATGCTGGGAGGTATTGGGCGATTCAAGGACTACCGTGGGGATAATAAACATGCTTTCTTTGTCACCGTCCTTGAGCGCGTTCGCGATGCCTTCAAATCCCAGGTGGGCGCGTTCGACGTATCTGCTCTGCATGACGCGACCCGTGGTATAGAAAAGACTCTCAAGAACGATTCCAAGCATGTTGACGGACCCAGAAACATGTTCGCTATCCTAGACGTGTACGAGCCATCTGAGGACTTCCTGGCTGCCCCAGATATCGAGCGTCAGGCTAAGGTTCCTGAAGTCTTCATGGCTGAGGAAGACGACTCCGATACTGCAGCCCTCTTCATGTACACTGCGTACCTCAAGGATCTCGGCCAACTTCGCGAAGAGATCCTCCAGCTCTGGACCAAGTATAGATCAGGAGATAGAGACCTCGCCGCCGTTTCAGTTGCCACCAATACCGCTCTGCAGCTTGCGCGCAATATGGAGCAAGAAATTGCGTTGTCGATGGAGAAGCTTGGAGGTGCCATGGAAGCTATCCAAATGTTCTATGAGGCTGCTTGCGCAGCTCAAGGCCAGGACCCTCTTGATAAGCAGTGGGGTGATGATTTGAACTTCAACTGCTACCAGGACGGCTCCGACCTCTACTTCACTACTCTCAGTCTTCTTCACGCCTTCAGCAGCAGCGAATCGCCTTCAAACATTCCGAATTACAACGGGAAGTTTGGTTGGTATAATGACATGAAAAGAGGAACCACCGCTCGCGAGCGATGGGCAGAGGATAAGGCAGCACTCCTTGAAGTCTTCGCGGATCAAACCATGCTCTTTCAGCTGTTTCGGGGATCCCCGGTTCAGGATGAGTTCACTAAAGGATTGAAATACGTGATGGACACGGGTAAATTAGAAGTATGGCTATGCTTCTCCGCCCAAGTGTACCTCGACATTCTCAAGTCCCTCGGACCCTCAGTTCGAAACGGGGAGAGGGATTTCCAGCGGTCCCTGAAGCCAATCGCAGACAGTGTCGAAGAGGCTCTGCGTATTCGTAGCAATCGAGAGGGTGCGGTCAGGGAGAACATGCAGGATCTTCGCAAGCTGGCAATCTTATGGGGGCCCGGAAAAGACCCATTCAACGCCATTCGCATTGCATCGAGGCTTCAGACAAGGACTTCAAACTTCTTAGAACATCATCCGATGTACTGCGGTCTCTTCTTGCATTACGTCCGAACTCTCTTCCACCGCGCGGGGGCCGAGTATGCTGCGAAGCCCGGTAACGTGATGCACGGCATCCAGCTCTATCAGGCTCTCCAACAGGAAGGCTTCTTGCAAGACGGGGACAAATGGGACGCTCTGGATTCAATGATGGAGCAACAGGGCCGGACCGCCTTCTTCGTCGGCGATCCCCCAGTGAACCCAGAAGCGTATTTCAAGAACTTCGGACTCTCAAAAGGAGTTTCGGCTGCGCAATGGATCCAGAAGCGCAACAAACCCAACAACAATCGCGTTATGATCTCAAAAGCTGGCATTCGGATCATGAAGTTCAAGGGAGTCTGTTCTTGTTTGTTTGCCCCTAGGGTCTTGGACAACTCGGATCCCAGAGGCCTTAACGCGGACGTCATTGATCAAATCCTTGAGCGAAGTGGCTGGTTTAGCAAAGCAAGCAACGACGGCACCCCCTCCGACCCCGAAAATCCCAAGGCAAGATGCTATGAAGCTCTCTACCATTGCCACCAAGTGTTCTTTATAGTCCATATGTCTGACAATCTCCAACAGAAGCACCGTGCCCTCCTCCTATCTGAGCTAGTTTGTCAAGTCGCCCTCGCAGTTCATGACGAGGTACCCGAGCTCACTCTCGACTACTTTCACACCGACCACCTTTGCAAGGCTGTTTTGAAACGCGTGCGAGAAAACGTAGATGTTAAGAATGGCGGCTCGATCGAGTCCAATCAGCTCCGTGCGCTTCAAGCAGACAACCCAGGAGATACCGTAGGTATCGTTTTCGCTGCAGTTGTTGGCCACGTACCCGTTCTTTCTCCAGACCAGAAGGCGCCTCTCCTAGAGGCAGCCGAAGCTTTCAAGAGCAAGCCTACCTTGGAAGATTAGTCGACCTTATTATGCGTTGTCCACACATACTCTAGAGAACGAACCGTAGGCGTCAGGTTGTTATATCCAATGTATTGATCAGCATCATTTTGAAGTATTCATCCATGCTTGTGCCCTGCCATTAAGAGTTATCTTATCTGCTAGCATGGTGTCAAGCGTGTGATGGGATGCTCTTTCGATAGACTGCTGATCAGTGCGTGCAGTAATGCCAGTTTGGGTTGGGACACAGTGAACTGGACAAGGTAAATTTGCAGCAATGGCGGTGTCATCGAGCAGTAATTTGCAACATATTCAATTAATTCGGTCGGTACTTCATTTTCCAACTATCATGCACCCTGGCATTATTCACATGAGCGGCGTCCCAGATAATTGAAGATGGCACAACTAGTAAAGATAGACAGCTACGTAAATGGTCCTTTACGAGTATTTACATCCGATACTTTATATCGTCACTTGAACCCCATTGGCACTTTATAGACGTGGTGTTTATGGGTTTTGATGGCATCCAGGAGCAGCCGAACTCTGATCATGGAGCGTCGATTGGTTGTCACGTTGGTTGGATCTCGGAACGTCGTTGGAAGGGTTGAGGCCGAAGAAACTCGTTGGCTTCAAGGCACATGACAACTTCTCCGCGGGCATAACAGGGAAGTCTAAGAATTTCCAAGCACGGTAAGTATCTTTTTCGTCAGAGGCATAGGAAGAATCATCTCGTACCTTCGGGGCGTGTGACGTGTGTCAGACCAAACGAGTGCCACAGAACAACATCTTCAGCCTCAACATTTTCCGCTCGTGCAGCATACTCTGCGAGGCCAGTATCCTCTCGGCTTTGGTTTGTAAACTCTCCAGCAGCCCAAAGTTCGTCATCGCGGTACCGAGTAACCCAAATTGGCTTAGACGCAAAGATTCCGCGTCGATGATTGAAAGTCTCGGGCCCCATCATCAGCATCTGGCTAGGCGAAGCATGAAGCTTGTACCCAGCCAGCTGTCCCGATACCTCGTTCTTGCGAGCCGGATTGACAATTTTGTACGTGCGAGCTTTTGTTAAATCGAGATCGTAACCACCTGGTGAAACAATAGGTGTGGTATCAAGTCGGAACGCACATCCGTAGGGGTCGAGCTCTGGATCGTCTCGTACAGGAATACAGTCCTCGTATACAATTGTGTTCTTTCGTGCCCCATCGAGGATCGGATCTATACGGACACAAAAAAGATGCTGATGGTTAACAGCCAAGACTCCGGGTGCCACAACTGTCCCCCAAGGCGACGTCTTGAGTTCGGGGCGGATTGGCATAGTGGAGACAATTCCAGTTGCTCGCACCTCAATGTGAATATTCGCGGCTTGATCCAGGACATATGCCAAGATGTATTCGTAATTGGCTACAGTGGAAGTGCATTGGACAACGAGCTTTCGGTCCCGGACTGCGGAAGATTTCATGTTGCGAAAGTTCGTGTGTTTCCACCCAATGCCATCATCGATCTCGTGCATGCAGACAACGTTCGGCATAACAACAGGTTCTCCTGTTGCTGAAACCCGAACGCCATCAAAGTAGGCAATGTGGCCTAAACAGTCACAGCCAAGAGACAATCTATTGGAAGTGAGACCGAAGCCGGAGTCGCCGAGGTCGAACGCTTGCTTCCGGTGGTAAGGTGTTCGAGGATCGCCGTAAGGTACCGTCATCTCACTCATCGATACCCGGTAAAATAGAGGCCGGCCTTCGTAACGTACGTCGTGCAGAACTGGACCTTCACGTAGAGACCATCCCAGTTGAAATTGCCATCTCTGCCATGATACCTTACGATTGTTGATGTCGAATGAAGGCCCTTCTGGTTGGGTGACTTGTAGTGGTTTTAGGTCCTTTCTAAAAGCATCGGGTCCGAGAATGTTTGCGCTGTACTCAACTGGCTTGACAGGTACCCAGGGTTGTGTTTCATCGTCAATTTCATCGTCGATCCCCAAAGGAAGCTTTTGCAACTCAACTAGCTCAAGAGTCTGAGCATCGAAGATAGGTGCAAGAGGGAGAGGGATGGAGTAGTGATTGGCCTCGTCGTCGTCATCTAGGGCAAGATACATGTAGCATTGGAAGAGACGGCGTCTCTCCTCGACATCGTCAGTTCCGTAAGCCCAAGGGTCATTGAGAACTCGTGCTCTATATCATATCATGTTAACTAACTCTGGCACATCAGAATCAAGGGAATTAGAGCCTCACCCTTCGGGGAGTCTCAGTTTAGCGACCTCAGCCACGACATCTGGATGGGCATTGCAAGCTGTGGTAATGAGGTCGTATTCAACCCAATCCACTGGTCCCTGGGCATCAGGAAGGTCGTCAGTCTTCTCGAGAGTTCCGCTGGTTATGTTTATGATTGCTCTGCTCATAAAGTCCCTTTGCTTCCGTTGATAGTAGATCCTAGCTCTACGATCGGGCACAGGGCCGCGTTCCAGAAGGTGAACCAAGGTCTCATCTTTCGAAGGCTCGGCGAGATCGATTACTTTAAACCTGATCTCATCTCTCTGCAGGCTCAGTCCTTTGAACAGGGCGCGGGACGCTTGATGCACTTCGTTGACCGAAAGGGGGTCAAGGGGGTGTTTGGCCATGGTGACAAGTTAATAAGCCTTATTACAGGTCAGGAAAGTGCAGTGCGTGCTTGAGGGTCAAAATGCGGTTGCGTTCGATTGGCAGCACCATTTTATAATACTACATGTTCCCATACGAACACTTACAATGTTTACACCCTTGCTGCACTGCTTTGAACTTGTATACATTACGGAATATAATTGACTACCCAAAGTCGTTCGATTCGTGTTGTGGACTTACATGTTTCCCAAAAGGGACGTACTCCCAGCAGCGACTCACCACTTCCCAAAACGGAAAGAGGGGCAACCTGTTGCCTTCACGCGGGGTGAGAATAATCCCATTTTAATTACCAAACAGAAATAAGTGCATTCTCAGACACTTTTGTTTTGGGACAATGGCAGTAGAACCCGCTCATCACCTAGCAAACCAAGCCTATCTCCTAGCTTGAACAGGAAAGACATCCAGCCGACCTCTTCAGAATGGACCCCACGTCAGCACTGCGAAGGAATACAGCGTAACGCGGGGTAGCCCAATATGGCCATTATTACCGATCTTACATCTTGCGGCAACCGCGACTGATCTAACAATACCAGATCTTTGGGAGAGATATATGCCGTATGTTCCCGAACTTTGCTTCGCCAGATATGTTCAGAAGCTTTGTATCCAAATACCAACACCCTACCATGTCTGACTTCAGAGGTGTCGATCTTACCGGTAAGACAGCGATTGTTACCGGCGCTTCACGGTGAGGAATCGGCCGCCTTTGTCGGTCTTTTAACTCTTGCTTTAGACTACCGCTAATGTTCTTGATTGCACAGGGGAATTGGCGCCGCGATTGCGAAACAACTTGGGAGGCGAGGAGCCAATGTTGTCGCCAACTTCGTGACAGACAGCAGTCGCCAGCGAGCTGAAGACATCGTCAAAGACATCCAACAACACGGATCGAATGCCATTGCGATCCAGGCAGATATCGGGAAATTATCTGAGATCTCCAAACTCGTAGACGCCACGCTGAAGTTTAGTGGAACTGGCAAAATCGAAATTTTGGTTCATAAGTCAGTTTCTGTTCTCGGTTTCCTTGGCTTGGTTTTGACCATTATGTGTCTGGTTCTGATACATTTACTCTACTTCTCAGCGCGGCTTTGGGTGTTGACGCGAACCTCGATGAAGTCACCGAAGACTTGTATCTCACCCACTTCGATACCAATGTGAAGGGACCAATTTTTCTGACCAAAGCTGTTGTGCCGCACATTGCCCGAGGAGGTCGAATAGTTTTTGTTTCCTCTGCAGCGGCTCGTCTTGGGGTCGCTGGACAAACTGTATATGCTGCCACAAAAGCGGCCAACGAGGCACTTGCGCGTGTGTGGGCCAAAGAACTTGGGCAAGAGCATGGCATTACTGTCAATTGCGTCAATCCTGGCCCGGTGGCTACTGGTAGGCATCTCACATCCAAGACGCCCTTCGCAGCAAGACTGACATGTCCTGCGACGTAGATCAGTGGAACGAAAGCGATGACCAGTTTAGAAAGGACATGGAGCCCTTGATCGAGTCTACACCGGCTGCTGCGAGAATCGGAGAAGTGGATGATGTCGCACCTCTCGTGGCATTCCTTTGCAGCAGTGACGCTCGGTGGACTACTGGATCAGTCCTCTGTGCAAATGGGGGGTTGTATAACTAGACGAGAAGTACGCCGTTGACATCAGACGTGCTGATCAACGATGAGTTGAAAGTCATTGCAATTTCGAAAGAAGTCCAATACTGAAAAACGCATCATGCCAACTGCTGAATCACGGCTTGGCCTTTCCAGACACACTGATGTGCCTGTAACTCAATCCAGCCCCTGCGTCGCTTCCAGCTGGCCTATGCCAAAGCATGTCTGAATGGGTATTATAACTCTGACAGTTGAGAAGGCTGGATTACAACGATCAAATGACACTTTCTTCCATATAAAGCCTCTCTTTGGTATCTGCTCACTATCAAACTTGGCGGTTGTTGCCCAGATCTAGTCGTGTGGGTGTAGTATGGCTCATTGGCAACTTCCTTCCGAATCACGCGCTAAGCTGTTTGAACAAGTTGTATCAAGGTTCCCACGACATATCATGGGCAGGCTTCAAGGTGCCGGGACTCAGGCATCTCCATTAACGATACTATCCTTGAAGACACGTTTCCAGGGTGGACTTTGAAGACTGCCGTTCGGTGGCTGGGGGATCTTTCCTTCATCGCATCTTCCGGAGGTCCTATTCGTGGTATTGAGAGTTGCTGAGCCATTTTGGCACACCCCTGCATATTTGTTCAGAAGAAGAGGTAAGCGTGTTGCTGCTGCATACTCTCAGAGCAGGTCTGTATTTGAATAAGTATAAATGTTGAACCAAAGGACAATTCAGGTCTTTACTCACAAATTCCATCCAGGGAACATTCGTCCAGCCCCGGGTTTTCAGTCTTCGTTCCTCCCAAACCCCTTCAAGGACTTCCACCATGGCTGCGTGTTGAAATCCCGTGGAGCGTCGAATATTTTCAATACAAAGACTAGCGTAGTGTATCTGGTGTCTTTCAGATGTCTCAGTTGCCGCCAGAAATAGAGGGAACAACAGCCGCTTGAAGAATGGCGAATCCATTGAAACGTTTGCACAGCAATCCAGTATTGCTGATACGGATGGCCTGATCCTAGGGTCTTCGCAGGGAATGACGAACGTATCAGGCCATCGTAGGATTCTCAGCAAACTAGCATGTCGAAAAGCCTCCGCGAGCTGTCTCCACTCCGGATGCGGTGTGGGATATTCGATCATGTCGAGATCGAGGTCGCGAAGAAAGGTCTCTGCTTCATTTAATCTGGTCTGAAAGTCGACGGTAGATAAAGATCCCTGCATGTTCTGCTTGGCTGCTGCTATTACGTCCCCGATCCTGAGGAATATTACTGCGGGACAGCCAACCAAAGTGTGCAGGGCTGCGTGTGGGCTGGTGATGTTTGCAACACATTTCCGGACATTCTCGGAGTAGGTGAGCTTTTCGGCACCACTGAATCCTCTTAAGACATCCAGCCTGATCAACATATTTGTTGTTAGAAAGTTTTGAGATCGGACACGAGTACTAGACTTGCCATGATAATGCAGACAAAAAGAAGATGGTTGCTGCAGACCGCTCTGCCCTTCCTAAAGGGGATGCAATTCTTCCACAAAGGAATGACACGCCGTTCAAATGAACAGCATGGGCGGATATTCCCAGCTCGCATATCTAAACATCATGCATGTGATTGCTTAGCCAACGAGACTCATGCTGTGGAGGAACTTGAAATGGGTCATGGAGCTCACATCATGAAGTACCAAAAGGAAGATTATTGCTAGCGCAGCCTCTTCTTCAGCTTCTGTAAGTCCGTAGATTTCTTCCTTGATTAAAAGGGAGCTCAGACCGTTCAATGCAGCAACACGGTGTTGTAAGGCAGTGGCCATGTCAACCTGGTTGGCACCTGATGGTGATAGGTGCAGATGGCACGCGGTAAGCCCCAGGACTGCATGGAGAACGCCTGTGTGATTGTAGGCCAGTGGAAGGACATGTACGCGGAACGGGTTGTCCACGCCTTCAACGACAATTGTTAGATGATGGCTCAGCTCTCTGTCGACTACGAACGTTCGTCAGAAACGATGATGTCACACTGGCTGAGATAAAATGGAAGATGGAAGGTTCCGGGAGGCCAAGCAGCAACTTACAGTAAACAAGCAATTTCTGGCTGTTACTCGTGAGTAGTAGATCGTCGACAGGGTGCCCGGTAATTGTCGCCGGTGACGGTGCGCCAAGAGATCGATCTTGCGGCGATGCTGGAGAAGCGCCTTGTGACAAAGTCTGGAGGAGGCGGCGACTTTGGCTTGGGTGATCTGAAGAAAGTGAATTTGGGGTCGTTGTTGGTGAGCTCAGGTTTTGGGCAGAAGTAAGCTCGTTGGTGGGTAGGACATCAGGCTGAACGCGCTCTTGCTCCGCTTCTGGGTCCCGCTCATCGCGAGCGGTTATCAAACTGGGCGTCTGTAATGATTCACAGAATTGGAATCGAGGAGGGTAGCCCTCACAATGCAAGCCCTTTGACTTGCATCGATTGCAGACAGGGCGCGCGCGGTCACACTTGCGGCACTTCTTTCTACAGGTTCCGCATGCTGGATCTGTTGATGGTCAGCGACGAAATCTGAGCGGGAGCTGAGGCATAATCGGGTAATAAAGTGCACGCTCAGAAATCATGAGCGACAGAATGTCTCGCTGCTGAAACTTGTTCCCAATCTGGCTCAACAAGACCCGGACAGGGACTGAGTGCCCTCTAGTGCAGTTTTCGGTACAGGATTCAGAGCAAAAGAGGGGAGAACCGAGCTGACCTTTTCTGACGGCTTTCGAGCCTCTGGCCATTGCGATGTTGGCACGCATTTCGCATCCGAATCTCGTAGACCTTGTGGTGAGGTATAATCACCCAATTTGTACGCAACTATCCTACCAAATGTTGGGAGCAAGTGGAAGAAAGGCCTTCGGACCAGAGAGTCTCGCCCGGTGTTGGGTTCATGTCGATTGTTCAGGATTGGACGCTTGGGCAATCCATGTATTCCGTACAGCCGTAAACCTAACTTGCCGTAGAGAGGAGCGGTACGTAGGTAGTGCAGGTGTGCAGCCTGCAGGTAAGCAGCATCCGCTAATGTGGTAGTGGAGTCATGACAAAGGAATCTGAATTCCGCGCCGGGGACAGCCACGCTGAAGACAACGTGTTGTCCCCGGTCTGGCGCCTCATACTAACATCCACATGACGTGAAGCATTACAAGGTCGGTCGAACTATGATCATCATTAGCTTCCTCTCATTTGCTTTTGGTTTCGGGTAACCTTGGGAAGACTCGCCAAAGGCTTTGCCACTCCACATGATCCCGAATTACATGGAGTTGCCGTGATGACTGTTGCTAGTGAAGCCTTAAGAATGATGCTTATGGCCGACACCGTTTAAGGAAATAACTTGCAAGCCATTTTGTAAAAGATCTCAATAGACCAGAATGCAAAATGATCGAAGTCTAGTGCTTTCACACGTACGATTTGGCAACGGTGTAAATTTAATTGTTCCCTTGATAATTCATGTAGGCTTTTGATAATCGATGAATCATAATCTCAAGCTACCTATCTAAAGGAAGGCACTTCCTGAAGCAGCAAAGGGCTATCCTTGACAGACCCAAGCTGAGAAGCTGAAATAAGGCTTCCAACTTCCATAATATCTCAACTGACTGCGATTTAGTTGTCCATTAAAAGTCGGAAGGACGCCCGTCGCCCTTCAACTCGGGACGGAGCACAAAGATTGGATCCATCTGATCAACGTACCCACAGGCCGGGTCGCTCATTGAATATCCCATAAACTCCTGGATAGGTTGATCCAACTTTTTTGCAACATCTTGGGGCACAGACAAGAATTGATTCTCCTCCTGTCGAAGATAGCCTCGAATAGAAAACGTTGCAAACATCAGTCGTCTCTCATTCTTTGTTGTGTTGTGGCCTCCGGCATGGTACGCGGATGCCAGCATGATGAAGGCATCGCCTTTCTCCATCTCGGCGTAAATGCACTCCTCTACTCGAGGTGGCATGTGTCTATCAGTGCCCCTTCAAGATCATGGTATCAGTTCATCTTTCTTCCTAGGCCGGAGGCCAGTTTGACCGAGAACGCGTCAACTATTAGCGCCCTAGCGCATGGATAAGGGACATTATTACTTACCACAAATGGCTCCGGGGAATGAATTGTGTTCCGCCGTTCTCCTTGGTGACTCTACAGCCAGCCACGAAGAGCCCAACAGCTGTTTCACGGCCCTTGTCTCGCTCATCATCCCATTCACTCACCTCTTGATGATAGTTGTGGCTGATGTAGTCGTCTCGGTGCAAGGGCTGAGCTTTGCCCCCAGGCCCAATGCTCATAGCAGTACAGGAGTGAACATATGGCTTCGACACAGATTCCTTCTTCTCATTTCCCCACCAGAACCAACTTCGGGTGGTCAAGAAGTGCTCGCACACCTTTTGGTAGACTGGGTTCATGACTTGTGTTTTGGCATACGTAGGGCTGAGAGCCAACAAGGCTGGTGCCCGCTGAGTCTCCTCTGTGATGGCCGTGCGTCAGCACAAACATATCAGGCCGCCCAACATTTGTATTTGGACCCCAAATACTTACTTGGAAAAAACGAGCCGTTCCATTCCACGTCATTCTCAAGACGTTCCCGACATTCTTCGTGAGCCTTGTCAACATCGACGACAGGAACAAGGGCTTTAACGAAGACGCCTCCGTCACGCTTAAGGAGGTAGATGATGTCGTCCACTGGGGTGTCTGCGGAGACCTTCTGGACCTCAGGACCGTACTTTGTGCTCATGCCCGACATTGTAGTAGAGGAAGTCGCAATTCAGTCCAAAGTCCAAAACCCATGGGTATTGTGAGAAAACGATAAACCGAACTCAACAATCGCGTGCTGGGGCAATGGCGACTTTGCAAAAAAATAGGTTATAAACTTTGGTCTATCGTACACGATATCATGTACAATCGCTGCTTGAGAAAGGGTATAGCAAATGTAGTCGTAACAGGGCTATGCTTGCTACTCCGCACAAAAGTAGATCGGCGGGCAAAGTCTACGTTTGCCTCGACTGGAAACGCTGGGAATACTTCCTAAAACGGAATAAGAACGCACTCATGTGAGGAGCGGGGCCCTCTAGATCAGCCACGATCATTCCGCATTTCATGCAGCGACACATGGATGCAGCCAACAACTCCGGCACAGGTCCGCACGGTTTGAGGAACACAGAACCACCAGCCTTCCAACTGCAACATTTGCCATCGAGGCTAGGTCAACGTGGCGAGTCCGGTTTTCACATGACGATAGTAACCCAGTGTAGCACACATCAAATATGTTCACCAACCGGCTGGGAATGGCCAAGTCCACAGATAAGGCGCCTGATGCAGTGTTGCGGTACACGCAAGCCGCATTGAGATAGCAAACACTCCATTGGAGATTCAGGAATCAGAATCTGGGGATGGGCCTCAACCCGGGGGTCAGGCCAATGTTTCGGGCGACCGGCTGCCCGAAGATATCGCGAGCGTGTTCACGTCGCCAATTACCTTGATACCGCATCGCCGCAGCCATGCAATGAGCGACAGTGTAGTCTATCGTTGCAACCCAGATAAGAGGTGCAGTCGGGTCAAGGTAGGCGGAATGCCATCGTTCCATTGCAATGTTGATGACTTTGGTCGTACGGCAGAGTTCATTGAAAGTATAAAACTTTGGTGCAGGCTCCCATACTCGGCGAGCAGTGTCGTGGTGGCGTAAGTTTAGGATCTATTCTACAATTTACTTCTACAAGTCATTACTCAAGAGAGACATCATTTGGACACTTTTGGGTTATAAATCTTAGCAAGACGGATACTTCCAATCGCAAAACATCTCTCTCTTCCGAAAAAGACCCTACCAAATCAGCGGCAGACACCAAACCTTCTCTCCCCCCCTCGAAATCACGTGGCCCAGATAGCATCTCTAATGGCACATTCGGCGGCCCGGTGAATATAGACGATATCATTCTGAGGACCAATGGCCATACCACGGCCATGCGGCGCCAATTCAGCTCGATGTCAGCTCCAGGCCTGGGTTTCTCCATCACCAACTCATGGGTTGGATACCTCGTACGTTGTCGGACGTTATGGTCATGGAGGGACCTTTTACCAGCTGACGGCTGTGACAGAGCAACTTCGGACAAAATCTGATTTACGGTGGGCCCCAATCTTGCTTGTTCGGCCTCTTGGCTGCTTTCGTGGCCCAGTTCATCATCTCCCTTGGCTTAAGTGAAATTGCTTCAGCATTTCCGGTAAGTTGACAACAACATCCCATGCCCCTAATGTATTGCAAGATACCTTGGACTAATCATCTTGGGGTAATAGTCAAGCGGTGGTTAATATCGTTTCTGCTACATCATGGCACCTGCCGATACGAGACGGTTCACAGGATATTTGGTCGGATGGATGTCAACGCTGGCTTGGTGGATCGTCACGTCCGTTCAATCCTATTGATTCTGTGCATGTGAACTCCACAAAGCTGACTACATGTTGACAGATGCTCTGGGACAGCTCTGTTCGCCGCAACTCTTTCAGGAATGATGGGCTTTTGGCATCCTGCTTTCGAAGGAACTCAGTGGCAGATCTACCTGATCTATGTTGGAACGGCAACTGTCACAAGTGGGTTATACCTTCTTTGACTGCTAAGCCCTCCTTCGTACCTGTAGCTCTGACCAATTACCAACCACTCCAAGTGCTTCCGCTGGTCTTCACGTCTAAGAAGATTACTTTGACCGTTCAAATCTCGCTCTATTCCTCCTTGATCGGTTTTTTCATCGTCCTATGTGTAACCACCCGCATGCATAAGCACATCATGCCCGCATCCTTCATCACACAGTCCGGACTCGGTTCCAGTGGCTGGTCACCAGGGGTCGCCTGGATCTTAGGAATCACGAATGCTATGTACGCTTTTGGTGGGACCGATGGAGGTACGCAGCTGTTCTATAGATATTCGGAACGGTCTGCTCCGTTACTAATCCTACACAAGCAATTCACATCAGCGAGGAAATATCACAGCCGGGAAGGCGAGTTCCTCAGGTAATGATGCTCACGATCTTAATAGGCTTGGACACGGCCTTTCCGCTGTTATTAGCACTGATCTTCTTCATGACTGGGTTGGACGCCGTCACTTCGGCCCGACTTCCAAGTTTGGAGCTGATCAACCAAGCGTCAGTCAGCCCCTTCTTCCACATGGCGAAACAAAACCAATGACGTTTGATTACTTAGAACTGGTAACGAAGATATCACTCTGTTCCTTTTCGCATACATTCTGCTTGTATATCTAGGTTGGTCCCAAACTTTCGGTCCTCTAGTGATACACTCTTGTCCGAATCTTACTTTCTTCAGTCTCCATACCATCTCAATGGATGACTGGCGGCCGGCTAGCATGGGCATTTGCTCGCGATGTAAGTATTCTTCCAACTCTTGCGGCAATGACTGACAGTCTGTGCAGCACGGAGTACCATGCTCAAAGTATTTCTCCAAGATTGACGAAAACGGGAACTGCCTCTGCGGGCAACGATCGCGTCATACGTCTTCGCCTGTCTGTACGGACTGCTGTACTTGGCTTCAACCACAGCCTTCAATTCCATCGTAACTTCGGCAGTTCTGTTCCTGGATATCACATATGTGGTACCGCAGGTGATCCTGCTGTTCCAGGGCCGGAACAAATCTCTTCCTCCTCGCTATCTGGACTTGGGCTGGTTTGGATACGTTTGTAACGTGTTTTCCGTCCTGTGGATTGTAATCCTGGGGGTGTTCATTTGCATGCCACCAACGTTGCCAGTGACGGCTGGATCCATGAACTACAACTATGTCGTTCTTGTAGGGATTCTGGGCATTGTGCTTGTGTTTTGGTCCATTGATGGGCGGAAGAATTTCAAAGGTCCCAACATTGACTGGGACATGATCAGGGCTCTCAACGCCGCAGGAACAGCGACAGAAGGTCAAAGATGTTAGATGAGATTTCTCATGGCGCTCGTACAGAGAGATTTTTGTCTTCTTGTCGATAAGTAGCGGAGGAAATGTCACAATGCCACATCATAAATGACTCCTGGAGTCTAGCTGGTGATATGCCTCACGAATGAAGCAGTCTCTAACTTGGTAATAGAACGAGCCCGCGAACAGGACTCCCCTTGCATTATAAGTGTAAATGATAGCCGAGGCACGATAGATCCTTGAGGAACAGACTTGGTCGATCTGGGGAACCTACAATCGTCAACTCAGATTGGGGTGTCTGCACGGAAAAGCAAGCGTCCTTCGTATTCTTGGAACCGGTCGTGGAGACTTGTACTTGAATTCGCCTAGCTCTTGATTTGCAACCACAGCCTCCAGGTCCGATGCCATCTTTCCAACTTGTCGAGCCAATGAGATAAGTCCGGAATCATGTGAGTTTCCACTTCCGCATTGCACTCCCTGATTTCCAGTCGTACTAAGCTCGACAAGTCCAAACTTTGATTTCTCGATTCTCTAGGTCGTAAATTCGCCCTTTCTTTCGAGCATCATGCTTGATTGGATGCCAGCATGGAACCTTCTCCAACGAGACAGATCGTCTCCCGTCCTCTGCTTTACGATCCTGAACTGTTGAAAACGCTTCTTTACAAGGAATGATTGCCCATCCCGTACAATCTTGGAAAGCTCCTTCGAGTACGCTAGGATGAGAGATCGAGTGAAGCAGAAGCGGCACATATTGATGCTATTCGACTAGATCTAGCTATAAATGTTGAGGAAATCCGAGTTCCTGGTCCGGTAAGCGATATACGGTATGCCATTTCTTGTGTTGCATCCAAAGGCTGCCAATCGTCCCGGCAAACCGAAACCAGCCATTGTTTTCTACCATGGCGGTGGCATGGTTATGGGCACGGCCTGCTTTGGTCTGGCTGCTGTTACTGCCACCGTGAATGACGTCGACGCTGTCATATCCAGTGTTGACTATCGCCTCGCGCCAGAAAATCACGGCTCGGTCCTTGTGGAGGACTGCTACGCTGCTCTGCTTTGGGTCTCTGGCCATTCCAGTAAGCTAGGTCTTGATAAGAAGTGTCTCATGGTCGCAGGTGTATCGGCAGGTGGCGGTCTCGCAGCTGGAACAGCACTTCTCGCTCGTGATCGGAAAGGACCGGCAGCTTGTGCGCAACTTCTCTTGTGTCCAATGCTCAACGACCGTTTAAACACACAGCATTGCAATTCGAGGGCGCGCGCGGTTTCTATACAGCTTGGGGCAGATACGCTTGGTCGTGTGTCCCCGGGAGAAAAGACGGGCACCGACAGTGTCAGCTCGTACGCAGCGCCTGGCAGGGGCTACGAACCTTTCTGACCTGCCGCCAGCCTACATTGACGCAGGGGTAGCCGAGCCCTTCCGGGATGAAGATGTTGCTTAGGCTTCTAGACTGTGGGAGAGCGGGATTCGAGCTGACTTTAATATTTGGGGCGGCGGTTGTCATATTTTCGATCTCTTTGAAGCTCCGACGGCTCTTGGAGCCATGTCTTCCCGAACACGGGGAGAGTGGATAAACAAAACTGTGTCTTGATGTCATTAGACTGGGCTTGCATTAGAAAGTGATCAGAAATGTTCCTCTTGGGTATTATTTTAATGAGGGCCAAGAGACTGCGCGCATCGCAGTTTTCAGCCTTTGGTAATCTCGTCTTCTTCGTCCTCCCACTCGCCCGCATCCTCCATGGCCTCATTGACCTGGTATTCGGCATCGCCAGCAAGACCATCGCTGTCAAATTCATCGTCATAGTCCATGCCCACGTCACTGTCATCAGCTTCCTTGCCCTTCCCGGCATTGGCTTTCCGCTTCTTGTCGACGTTCTCTTTTTGTTGCTTTTTCCTGGCCTCCTTCTCCTTTTGCCTCTGCTCCCAGCGCTTCTCCAACTCTTTTACCTCCTCCTTGGACTTATGGACATACTCGTGCCACATGACTTTTCCAGAGCACAAGCCTTCCTCGACCTTGGTCAGACGCAGGCGCATACGAGGTCCCAGCTCGACAAGCTTGACGGCGCGCTTTTCGACGGCATCATCCTCATCGGCCATGTCGTCGTCGACCGGGGCAGCGCTCTTCCTGATCTTCTGAGCCTTCTGTTCCTTGACCTCAACCTCGGCGTCACTGTCGAGCTCACTTCCACTGGTGGCATCTGTGAGATATCCATCACCGTTTTCTCCGCCCTGAAGAAAATCGGCGATATCTTCCAACTTTCCTAGGTTCGGCACACCCCCCTTTCCGTTTGTCTTTGATGCCAACAGCTTCTCTGCCTTTTCGAGTCTTCGGAGCGGCCTTGAAATTCCTGTTGAACGTGTGGTAATGGCGTAGTGTCGCATATTGATGATGAAAGATCCCTCGTTCTCCGGGTCCTTTTCGCGGTTAAGCAGTAATGTGCGCTTGATCTTGTTCAGGGGCGTCGCGTTCGGGTTCAGCGGAGGGAAAACACTGGACCACACAGAGGTCACCAGGGTTTCGAGGTGTTTGGGCACCTTGGATGTTGCGTCGGCGTCTGGGGTGTGGAAGTTGTTCATGACGAGCTAGAATTGGTTAGCAGGGACCCAAGCGAGGAGAGCGATTGATCTCGTACCAATGGCGGAGCAATCTGCTCCTTTCCGCTACCCTTGGGGCGTCTCTGGGACTTCTGTACGTCCTTGCAAAGAGAGTATTTCTCGACTCGGAAGTTCAGTGTAGGGCCTCGAGGTGTGAGGGCTACGCGCAAGTTGGTGTTACCGCTCTCTGATCGTGAGAAGAGCATCAGGTGAGTGACGCCGAGGGGGCCAGTCATGACAACGTAATCCTTCAATCGGTTTGCTCTTCTCTCCTTCATTCGACTGGCAGTACCTGGCTCCATGACCTTTCGGAAATCGGCAGCAAGCTGGCTCACGCTGGAGCCAACCTCACCCGCGCCGATGCGGATGACCATGCTCTTGGGGTCCTTTGCGCCGCTGTTCTCGCCGACGGTGGCCGGGGTGCTGGCACCGACGTGCGTCCTCTTCTTGACTCTTTTGCGCGCCATCTTTTGCAAGGTTCGGGGTGGTGATTGACTTGGGGGTTTGGAAAATCTTGACGTTGGAAAGTTGTCGAGGAACCAGATTCCGCAATTATAAAAGGTATCTGGGCCTGGGACGAGACTTGGATGCTTTGGTCGCTCGCAGGAAATTTTTTGGCGGGGCCGGGTCGATAAGAGCCAAAAACAGCCTTCACGTGCTGATAACATCCAGGTCCCCACTAAAAACTTTCCCGGAGCGTGGGATGTCATCCATCGGCTCGCGCCAAACTTTTTGCATCGAGTTCTCGGTAATCGCTTTTTTCCCTCTTTGCGCCAAATCGCACAGCGAGCTGTTCACGACGAAAATGCCTTCCTCGACGACGAAAAAGTCGTCATCGAAGGTCAATATGCCTTCCTCGAAGCGACAAAAGGTCGCGCAAAAGGGTCCATCTTCCAAAGTGTCTCGCAGAGTCGAGGTGGAAGCTTCTCCGCCCCCAGCCGCCGAATCTGAATCCGAAGACGAAGACGATGTCGTACCCGATGCTGATTCTGACGTCGAGATCAATGCCGATGTCACTGCTGAGTCCACGGAGGAAGTGACCAAGACCTTCAAGGAGCTTGTAAATTGCACCCGAGACCCCTCCTTTTGGCCGTGACAGTCTCTAATATCGATGCTCTAGGGTGTCGTTGAGTCCCTTTGCGAAGCCTGCGAATCTCTCGGATACAAGAAGCCCACGCCTATCCAGGCTCAGTCGATCCCCCACGCCCTTGCGAATCGCGATATCATTGGTCTGGCCGAGACAGGTTCAGGAAAGACGGCGGCTGTCAGTTCACCATTTCTTTGCATCTGTTTACTTCGAGCCCACTGCCACTGCTGGACGGAATGCAAGGCTATACAACCGCTAACCCATACCCACAGTTCGCACTCCCCGTTATTCAGGCGCTCTTGGAGAAACCTCAACCCTTCTTCGGACTTGTTCTTGCACCAACAAGAGAGTTAGCAGCGCAGATTGGTGCACAGTTCGAGGCACTTGGTAGTCTGATCAACTTGCGATGCGCCGTGATTGTTGGCGGTCTCGACTTCGTTGAGTCAACCCCTGGAGGCTTTGCTATCTATTGTAATGCTAACAGCTAGGACAATAGGTTTCTCAAGCCATTGCTCTGGGCAAACGCCCCCATATCCTCGTTGCCACCCCTGGGCGTCTAGTTGACCACCTCGAGAAGACCAAGGGCTTCTCCTTGCGTTCGCTGAAGTACCTCGTGATGGACGAAGCCGATAGACTTCTCGACATGGATTTCGGCCCAGCCATCACCTCCCTCCTCAAGTTCCTCCCGCGTGAACGCCGAACATTCCTCTTTTCTGCTACGATGAGCACAAAGATTGAGAGCCTGTCCCGGGCCAGTTTGAGAGACCCGGTCCGCGTCAGCATCAGCTCCAACAAATACCAGACAGTCAAGGGATTGATCCAGCACTACTGCTTTGTTCCCCATACACAGAAGGATACCTATTTGATTTATCTCGGTAACGAGTTCGCCGGCAAGCGCATCATCATTTTCGCCCGCACTGTTGCGGAGGTACAACGGTTGTCGATTTTGCTGCGCGCATTGGGATTCTCCGCCATTCCTCTGCACGGCCAGCTCAACCAGACTGCCCGTCTTGGTGCACTTTCCCGGTTCCGTGAAGGAACTCGCCAAATCCTTGTAGCTACGGTAAGTCCATGACACATGCCACGCCAATCTGTTGGCACGGCAAACTAATTATCATCAGGACGTCGCCGCGAGAGGTCTCGATATTCCGCTCGTTGACGTTGTCATAAATCACGACTTGCCGCAGGACAGCAAGACTATGTGCGTCATCTACCTCTCAGCACAGAATGTGCGGTTGCTAATCGTATCAGGATCCATCGAATCGGTCGTACCGCCCGTGCCGGAAAGTCAGGAATTGCCATCAGTCTCGTCACGCAATACGACCTCGAAATCTACCTGCGAATCGAGGCCGCCCTCGGCAAGAAGCTGACCGAGTACCCCACGCAGAAGGATGAGGTCATGGTGTTCCAGAACCGCGTTGAAGAGGCGCAAAGACACGCCAGAATGGAGATGAAGAATTTGATGGAGAATCAGGGCAAGAAGGGCTCAACTCTGAGGGGTGGTAAGAATGGTAAGGGCAAGAGGCGTCACGACGACATGGACGCTGAGGAGGGCTAAGTTAATACCATCTGTCGTTTTTTGGAGTTTCCGGTGTTTCCGGTGTTTCTCATGTCGTGAGACGGCTCTAATTGCTGTTGAAGATCGAACAAGATCAGTCGTAGCAAAATGATGCAGGTACTTGTTTCGGATTTGATCAAAAAGGGGCTGTTTAGGTGAAAGGGGGTTAAAAGTGATTTCCTATCAGCAGGGTCACACATCATATAGTCTCTGCTAGTGGCAGCAGGCGCAGGGTGGACGTACGTCGCGAAGAGGACGGCTGATCAGTACTTTTGAGAATAAGTGAATCAAATACTTAGTGTAGTAAGGCAGTCGTCCATCCTTCAGACTCGTTGCAACATTAAACCCCTATTCCGAAAACACCGTATAAATCCCGACAGAAAACGAATGAATGGTCCAACAATGGGTATATGCCGAAAAACAAGCGCAACTGCTAGCGCAGACAACTCCCCAGAGACTTTGTACAAAACTGTCAATCAGAAATCATCGTCGGCAACCGTCTCCCATCGCTTCGTCGCGAGCTTTCGCATCTTCTTGGGGCTCCCTGAGCTGCCGCCTGTACTTTCGTTGCTAACGCGTAGTTGCTCCATCTTTCGGCCCAGGTTGCTCACACCAGTAGCGCCGCCTTTCCGGCCACCAAAGTCTTCGCGTTCCTGGAGCGGCTTCCGTTTGCTTGGGCTTCTTTGCGCAAGCTCACGCTTTAGGATCTCGTTCTCGCGTCGAAGTCTTTCGTTCTCGTCTTCGAGGTCCTCGACGAGCAAGTTTTCTTTGTCCTCGCTGGCCTCGTCGTCGATCGTTAGGCCAAGCCCCTTTTCAAAAAGCTCCATCTTGCGATCCCAATGCTCCTCGCCCTTTTCTTGCTCCGCAGCAAGAGTTGCTTTCCAGCGGGCCAGCTCCAACTCGAAGCGAGCGTCGAACTCGGCCATGCAATCCTCGCGAACTGTCTGCTCCAGCTCCAGCAGCCTGTCTTCCATGCTGAGCAGATGTGCTTCGGCGGTTACTCTCGTCTCGCGTTCGTTATCCAGCTCGACATGAAGATTGGTAATCTCCTCCTGCATACGAGCAATTTCCAGCGCGGCGTGCTCCATGAGAACTCTGTCTCCATTATCGGAATTTGGAGAAAAGTTGCGATGGCCAGATGATCCATGGCCAAAGTATCCTCGGCGCTGTGGAGGAAGGTCGGGGGATCTCATTCCTGACGACGGATGCGCTGATGTAGGTGTGTCGGCCAGAATGGTCGATGTAATGCTGGGAATACGAGGGATCGTTACTTCCCTCGCAAGGGCACTGTATCTGAGGATTTGCGATGTCGCGTTCGCGTCGCCATGTGCATCGGCTGTGACAATCATGA